AAATGAAAATTTGCTCTATGCATACTCATTGGGAGTTGGAATTCACTTGGCCTTTTTCACATGCATTTCTTGGGGTAGTACCCAGTCAGCTGTAGGGACACAGAATGTCATAGGAGGGAATACTGCAGCAGATTTGAGTAGAATGAACTGTAAGGAAACCCACAGATACTCTTTAATAAAACCAAACCCAGAACCTCTGCAGTTAGCAAAAGAGAGAGTATCTCCTTGGGTGGAAGAAATTGAAACAATGAGGCCCAGCTGTCTTCCATGCCCAGAGGTGATTCAAGCCTCTTTGCCAACTTTGGAGGGTCTGGCCTCTGTTACACCAAAGAGAGGCTGTTGTCTCCTTCTAGAAACATTATCTATTATATGGAAGGGAGAGCAAAAGAAATTCTTACAGATACTGTGAATATGAGTAAACCTCAGCTAGAGTTTGAACCAAGTGGGGAAACCAGCATAAAATTTCAGGCCATGGCTCCACTAATAATATCCCTGGTAGAAGAGAGTACAGTGCTGGACTTGCTTCTTACCTTTATGTTTAGTAGTGATGGCTTTGAAAACACAGAGAAGTTTTTCTGGTCTCCATGTAGTGTTTTTTTTTTCTTTTTGGTACCAGGGATTGAACTCAGGTCCTTGTGCTTGCGCAGCAGGTGGCAAAACCACTGAGCTAAATCCCCGGCCCCATTACAGGTAGTGTTTTTGTATGAATTTCTTTCCCATTTTCATGTCTTCAAGGCCCAACTCATGTGTCATCTGCTCTGTGAGCCGTCTTTAAGTCCTCTCTCAGGCAAAATGAATCATTTCCTTTCTATTTCTGTAGCATTTTCCCTTGCTCCTTCCTAGAACATATCACATTGTGTTACAGTGCTGTTTAGTTGGGAACTAAAGAGGCAGTGGAGTGTAGTGGATAAGAATATGGGCTCTGAAGTAGGCTGTTATTATGGTTTGGATCTGAAATGGACCCCATAGACTCATATGCTAAATGCATGGTGCCAGCCTGTAGCACTGTTGGGTGGTGGTGGACTCCTTAGGAAGTGGGGCCTTACAAAAAGTTAGATCACCAGGGCCTTTGAATGGGATAGCAGAACCCTGGCCATTCCTCAGTCTGGCTTTGCCTTCCTCCATGAAGTGCGTAACTTGTCTTTTTTCTTTTCCCCCCATTAACTTTTTGGTACATTTTAGGTATAAAATACAGTTACATTCATCATTGAGATCTTGTACCATTACATGAGTCTCTTGGTTCTTATTTTTTTTCCCCTTCCCTTGCCC